TTACAACAGGATCGCCACTGGCTTCTATTCTGAGCCATGTCTGATAACGTCTCTAGCCACTGCGTTACATCTTCTCTAGGACCCTAACCAGGAATTCGTGAAGGATCAACAGAAGCTCTTACCGATGCATTGTAGATCTGACCTTTTACAGCCAGACGAACATTAAGAACGAGCCAAAGATGGCCTAGATTGGCATAAACCATTCTGGCTTTCACTATAGATGGCTCCACTAGCACTCAAGTTCATAACATTAATTATCAGTTGATATTTTTATGGTCACTTAGCAATGATGAGATTAGTCTACGAAATTAATATCTGTGAAACCCTTTATACACATATAGCTTCCATTTTGATCATTCAAAGTTCACTACAAAATGTGTTTCCGATCTCTATTATTCACCTTTACTAATCACATTGATCTTCTCATTCAGATGTATCTATTGTTAATTATTTTAGCTTATTGAGCAATATTACTGGTCTTCTAAGACTACTCAAAGCAATATGTTAAAAACTCTAATTCAATAGACTTCTGTAACTAGATACTCATAATTCTAATATCATGGTTACATACTGTTTCTACAAACCTGCACATAAAACTTGTCTAATTATTGCGTACTTATAACGTTAATATGATCCTCCCTTCGAATATCTAAAGATTTCGTAGTAGCCTAACCTGTATAAAAGTATGGTACTGAGTACAGAAACAGAAGCTTCTTTTTTGGATCAGATTTCAGTCAATAGCCTGTGAGTAAATGGTATTATTAGATTTTAGACAATGTAATTCACACTTGATTATAGTCATAATAGTATTCAAAGTTGGAATCAGATGATCATCACTGTACTATGACAGAGTGCGTCTGAATCCCATCATAAGGATGACAACTATTTGGTCCATCATCTGACTCTTCGACGTGTTTTTTTTAGAAATTACTTCATTTTTTTAATGATATACTGGTGAATTATCCAAGATTAATTACAACACAATAACGATTAAACATCAAAAATTGGGGTCTCTACTGCAGTTTGCCTATCAGCACAATAACTGCGAACCGTCGTAAATGATCATTTATCGTTAACAGATTATTAGTTAACACAAAAACTTTGAGAAATAAGCAACTTATGAACAACATACTAATATTAATTTCATTTAATAGTTGAATTCATGGGTCAATTAAAGCTAGACTACCATAAGAAAACTGGAAGTACTGGACGGCCGTTTTGTCCTAGTATGGGACGATTCCGCTCACAGGATTCAAACCCAGGACCTATCGCTCTCGTGCGTGAACGCTTAAACTCTAGACCACTGATCTGGCATTCAACAATGTTGATGTTTAACTTCAACCAATCCATGGAATTACACCACCATCCATCATTACCTTCAGTGAGTTACTATCTCACAACAAACCTGGTAGTTTAGCTTTAATTAACCATGAAATTGCTAAAATCTCCACAAACCTTCCCCTTTCTTTTATCAAATAGTAAATAATAATTGTTCATTTTCCTTTCATTATAGAGAAAATGTATCAATTGCCGAATATGAACGAGTATGTATGGCATATAAAGATTTATATAGACGTCATCAAGAATATGAACGAATTATTCTTAATTCAGATAACCAAAAATTTATTATTAAAAGTAATGATTTTCAATAGAAATGACAATATTGTTCATTTCACAATATCTCAGGTACTTCAATTACACAATAATGTTTGTTTAGATTTGTCATATTGTTTATTTATTTAAACACATAAACATTGGTACAAGAAGGCACCAAATACATATGCGCCATATAAATCGAATGACTTATGTGGGGGCTAGGATACTACCCGGATGCCCAAACTGAAGCAGGTGGTTTTCTTAGGTGGCCATACCCCGAGCCTTTGACCTAAAGGTCTAATCCACAAGGCAGTGGAGCAACGTCAGGAGATGCAGTCTCATGGTAGCCGGTGACCGACGATTGTTCCTTCAGGATCCTGGAGCTCATGTGCACCATTGGTTTGGGATGAGGGTCTCCCAACTCCGCGAGGTGAATCCTCTATATACCCCCAAATGCCCTGGTACGGCCGAGAGCGGAGAGAGTCAACTGTCCCTCTCGAAATGCTCTCACATGGCCACGTGCATACAACCACTGCCAGGGAATTCCTACTCACCGCCTTCTCGCGGCGAGGGTGTTTTTTACGAAACTGAGAGGAACAAAAGCGAATATCCGATGCTTAAACGGCGTTGGTGGATATAGTGTCATATTGTTAAAGTAATGAGAATTCAGGAGTACTTAACGGATCGACTTATTTCCTCTCATCATCAACATTTGAAATCTTCTACTGTATTTCTTATAAACAAACTACTACTCTGACGCATATAGTTTGTGTTATCATTTCTTTATTGTTATTTTTCACTTGATATGGTTTCCAGTTATTTTTATAATATTAGTATTAGAAAACTAGAAACATAATATATCCTTAATCTTATTCTTAACAATCCACCGAATTCTTAATTAACTTTGAAACTTGGTAATGATACTTACGTGCTAATATCAATTATTTTTATCACTTTGAATACAATATATCTGTCCTACAGGGGGTATATCGCGACCCGCATACATCAGTGGTAACGTCTCTGATTGTGAAGTTGGGTGATATGGGATCAAATCCGTCAGGGAGCACCAGTTCCCTCAAGATTACAAGTACACCTTACTGACGAGTGGCAAATAGCGTGAAACCTAGTTCCAGGGTTTCCTGCTGACTACCTCCAACCACCATCTTATCTCAACATAGTGCACCCAATGTCGAGTCACCTAGACTAGTGGCCACATTGCAAGTTATAATCTATTAATCACCAACTATTAGATGTTACTTACTGGGATTTTTTGTAATCTCTCGTTCTAAATGAAATCATGAACTGATCAATCGTAGACCATCATTAAATCCTGGAAACACTGGACGGCCGTTCCATCTTAGTATGAGACTCCTCAGCAGAGCACATTCACGATCTCACACAAAACGTCTGCCGAGTGCTTCCATAGTGTCCAATAGTGGTCCAACAGTGATCAGTCCATGATCTCAACTAAAACTCAACAATCTGATAATCACTTGTTTGTCGTTTTTTATTCTCTCTACATTTACAATTTTTTTAGCTTTCCAGATTTCATTTTAATGCAACATGATCTTGAAAGTATATAACTAATCTGAGGTTTTATATATCAATTTCATTAATACTCTTAATGATAAATCTAAAATAGATGGATACAACCCAATTAGACTTACCTATCTAGAATTCATTGAAACAATAATAACAATTGAGATCCAATATGAAATTCATATTCTTTAATTACTACTTGATAATAAACAAAATTTCACATAAAATATTGCATTTCTGTCCATTATATATATTGAATAAACAGAAGTTGAAGTTATAAAACCCTTCTCATTACCTCCCCGAAAACCTCATTCTTTATTTGAACACATAAATATTGGTACAAAGGAGCACCAAATATATATGCGCCACACAGTAACAATGAGAATGGGAAGAGAGAAAATAATGTAAGATGCGTGTAAAAAGGAAAAATTAGTGTATGGTAGTGAAATAGTAATAATAATAATGGGGAAACAGAAAGGTACAACCAGAAAGAATCCTTTCAGTTAAAGAAGTTACGGTCACTTTTTATGAAAAAAAAGTGAAAGAAGATTACAGCAGGATCATCACTGGCTTCTATTCTGAGCTATATCTGATAACGTCTCGAGCCACTATGTGGCACCATTTCTAGGACTCTAACCAGGGAGTCGTGAAGGAGCAACGGAAGCCAGTCCTGTGCAGCTTTCTTTCATATCACGACACCATGTCATACACTGATCACCTCTCCGCACGACGAGAAATTCTCTGGGACGACATTCGTAGAACATGTCCAAGCCACCGAAGTCGATGTTTCAAGATAGTGACACCAATTGAATTATCGTCTCTGCGCCCGAACAAACGATGCCGAACCTCTGCATTACTAACATGGTTTTTCCACTGGATGTTAGCAATCCTTCGGAGACAACGATGATCAAACACAGAGAGTCGTCTAACATCCTCAACTCGGAGAGGCCAGGTTTCACAAACAAAGAGCAAAACTGCTCTCACCGATGCGTTGTAAATCTGACCTTTTCGTTCTCTTAATTTCGTAAACAACATCCCCGCCACGAGAATGCAGTGAGTAGGACTTCCCTGGTAGTTGTTGAATACGCGTGGCCATGTGAGAGCATTTCGAGAGGGAGAGCGGACTCTCCCCACTCTCGGCCGTACCAGGGTATTTAAGGGCGAAAACCTCACTAAATTATATTGTTTATTTATAATTATTGTTTGTTCAACCACTGTTTATAGAAGGTCGAGTACAAACACTATATACCATAAATCACTTACCTTAAACATGATAATTAATTCCACGTTTCGATACAAAACTTTCAGATACATCTATTCTGTTAGAGCTGGAGATAATAACCGGCTGTTCTAATTGAAAATATGACAGTTTGAGTACAAAACCCATTTGTTGATATTTAACTTTCGAAATCAGCGAATTATATCGATAAGCACTGATAAATCTGGGATTATTTATTCACATAAGTTTAAACTGACACTTATATAACCTGCTACTATAAAACGACTGTCTGCAATTGGTACAAATTTACCAATCTCCCTAATACGCTGTAGTGAGTTTACTCATGTATGTAGCAGTGTGGAGTACATCAGCTATGTACATTCAGGCATTAAAGTTTAAATATCAACGTACTGAACTACAGATACTTATCATGTGTTAGGAAATTAACTTATGAAAGGAAATTACTTATTGCATAAACTATCATCGCTGGATCTCCCCCCCCTAGTTCACCGTTAAAGCGCACTATTCAAATAAACGATTTAACATAAAAATATGCAAGAAGCTGAAATCCCCATTCAGGTGATCCAGAAGACTTTTTAAATGGATAAATACAAGAATGAATGGAGAAAATCCAGCTACAACAGGTGTTAAGATGTTTTTCGCTAGTAATGTGGTTGATCGAATCGATATCGCTGAGACCTTTCTTTGGTATTTTGGTTCTACTTTCTGTCTAAATTACCGATTAACACTATCATCCTAGAAGGATACCGACTTCTGTTGCAATAAAAAAACATACAATTCATCTTTTTTCGCTGAAAAATGACTATATTATCCATAAAAATATTATATGTACACAACTGCAGTAGGAACGTTTACTCGTCATCTTGCGGAGTACGTATACTTCGGTTAGACGTAGGACGTCGTTTGAACACAATACGAGCTGTTGTGTTAGAATTAGGCTGTCGTACTTTAGTATCCTCACTATTGGTTTGCTTAGTGGTTTCAGCTACGTAACTACTGTGTGTAGTTACCTGGTCTTTAGGACTGAAGAGAGTTGGATTTTCGTAATACTTTTCCGTTGTCGCTTCCAACTGTGCAAGTACAGCCAGTTTTCCATCTAAATTTGGAGATCCGAAGCTTCCAACATCATTGGAGGCATCAGGAAGATCAAGCTTGGGTAATTTGGGCCTAGGACTTCATCGAACGAAAGGAAACGAGATATGGAGACATTAAGTAACATAATAAACATAATTGTAGTGAGACACTTAAGACGGTAAAGGCTTGTATTATTATTGACGTTATTATAAGCATAATATTACTAACTGAAACTGAAAGCCGTTTACAGCAGATGAAAAGCCTCGAAATATAATTGATTCATTTTACCCAGTACATCTAGTTCTCGTTTTATTTCAATAGAAAAATGGGTAAATATATAAAACTTACGAAAAGAAACTAAATGCTTATACCACTGAGCTATTTCACCGATTTTAGGCTCATTTTACATAATAGCTCATTAAACTAGTATTTACTTTTCCACACCATTGTAACCAGCAATAATCTATTTCAAAGTGTGTTATTCTAGACTCCGGTCAAGTTTGACGTATTTTAATCAACTACTTCAATTAAAAATATGTTTTATAGGTGGCAGTTCGATACTTACACTATGTACACTATGTGAGTATTTACATTCTTATCAAATCACTTGCCATTATTAATTGAAAGTCAACAAATTACTCAAGCATTTCTTACTTGATTTATTTATTTATTTCAACACATAGATATTGGTACAAAGAGGCACCAAATACATATGCGCCACACAAATCTCATTCGATATGTGTGAGGGCTGTGATACTGCCCGGGTGCCCAAACCGAAGCAGGTGGTTTTCTTAGGGAGCCACACCCCGAGCCTCCGACCTGAAGGTCTGATCCACAAAGCAGTGGAGCATCGTAAGGAGATGCAGTCCCATGGAAGCCGGTGACCAACAATTGGTTCATACGCCATTTGTTCCCGCAGGATACTGGAGCCCATATGCACCATTGGTTTTGAACCCGGTTAAAGCGCCGGACATTCGCTTTTCGTCCTCTCATTTTTGTAAACAACACTCCCGCCACGAGAAGTCAGTGAGTAGGACTTCCCTGGCAGAGGCTATATACGCGTGGCCGTGTGAGAGCATTTCGAGAGGGAGAGCGGACTCTCCCCACTCTCGGCCGTACCAGGGCATTTGGGGGCTCTTACTTGATTACTTATAAAATATCTAAGATTGAATGCTTTTGTCATTTAGATCCCCCTATTTTCCTCAACCATATCAAATAATGTAAGACAAAATAATGTTTATTGGTTAACGCCCTCAACCTTAGACTACTAGTCGAGAAGTTTGAATTCTACTGAGACAACTTCGTTCTAGATAACTCAGTAGAATCCCTATCGTTCAAATAATTGCAGCTATTTTAGTAGGTAAACAGGCTCTAGTATATCCCGTAAAATCTAAGTTATATTTCAACAGAAATAAAAATATGAACTTTTTTCTGGTTCAATAATTGAAAAACGTTTGTAGACTACTTACGTATCATCACAAGGAACCCACGGACCAAGTAAGTCAATTTGTGGACCTTGGAATTGAACAGGTGTTGGGAGGTTCACAGTTTTCGGCTTCTTATCGGATGTGCCATCTGATATTTTTTCTATGATAGGCTCGATATCTGATGTAGGTACATTAAACACTTGTAGTACTGCCTCATTGGCTCCTTTGGATCCATGTTCGCTTAACTCCACAAGACGATTTAAGACGAATTCTTTTAGTCTGGTTTTTTCTTCTTTCACTGGTCGTTGGTCCGGCTCTATAATGCCATCTGGTCGTGTCCACTGAGTAACACGAGTAGCCACATTCCAATAATAATGTTTGCCATCTGGGGTGATTGATTCCTTCCAAATATTTGCATGACTGGATGGATCAGGACGAGATTTATCAGCAACTGATTTCCCTGTTTTACTAGAAGACTCTTCGTTCAATTTTCCTTCACATGGTGACTCTTCGAATTTTAAATATAACGTAAAACAAGCAGTTACTTGCTAGCACGATTCCATACTGTTTTGCCAATGATGGGTCTCTTTCTAGATCTTTCATCATACTTAAGTGGGCACTCTGGATATTTAAAAGGATAACTTGGAATTTAAGACAATTACATCGTTTATTTGTTGTAAGCACGCCTCTAAATTCTTCTTTTCCATTTCAGCACACTTATTGCTACGGGTCAATTCATTAACTTTTTTAGCTACACTAGCTTTATGTCGCATACCATTCTCATGATTTTGGATGCTCTGTTCAAAGTACACGTGGGATAATAATGAAAAAGGAATTAATATCTTACGATTTTGTTGTCAGCCATCCAACATTTGCATAATTCGCAATACTTCTTTGGGTTACTTTTCCAATAATCGGCCATACCAACTAGAGATAGTAGCTGCAACTACATAACGATATTATAAAACATACAGAAAATTAGGCATACGGTACGAATAATTAAGAATTCGTAAACAAGTATGATTGGAAAAGAAATTTTCAAAAGGCGTCTATGCATTATATTGTGGTTCCGATTTGAATGACACTCACCATTCGACAAACTCCATGTTTCTTAGATTTAAAAAGCTACACATGAACATATATGTATCCACTGTTACGAGACAGGCAATATGGCACATAAATATTTAATAAGGCAGTAGAAATATGAGAACCAGTACCAAGTTGGGCGTGCATATTATGTGGTCTTAAAAGGTATAACAGGCTGACGTTTTTGTCGACCCGAGCCGTTCATTAATGCATCTTTGTAAAATATGACCTTTACCACTTTAAAATAAGTTGAGCAATAGGTAGAAAGTTATTAATAAATATTCTTTTTGTGATATCCATATGAATAGAAAATTGTATTTTTGATGTTTCGTGACTTAGCATAAGCCACTTCTTCAGAATAGATATATGAACGAAACTAAATTAACACAAGTTGTGTTAATTTTATCTCGGTTACTTTCTACTCTTTGGGTTATCACAAGAAAATATATTTATTATGATCTTTATTACGTATGAGGTGCACTTCCTAAATAAAAGGTAAGAACCATTGAGATTTAGGTAATATAACACAAAAATGGACCGCAGAAGCACAAATAAATACATCTCCATAACCGCAAAAATGTAATTACATACCCTTCCCGAATCTTTTGTCTTGATAAATTTGAGAACATGAGTAGTGAAGAGCATAATACTTAGAAAATGTGTGATATTATAAGGACGAACATTTACTAACAGGAAGGTAGCAACATTATGAATACTACCTATTCATCGAATGCACCACTTCTGTTATGACGAGATGCTTGTTAAACCGCTTGACATTTAATAGCATCCCTGAATGCTCTGGTATGGCCGAGAGTGGGGAGAGTCCGCTCTCCCTTTCGAAATACTCTCACACGGCCACGCGTATACAGCCTCTGCCAGGGAAGTCCTACTCATTGCCTTCTCGTGGCGGGGATGTTGTTTACGAAAATGAGAGGACGAAAAGCGAATGTCCGGCGCTTTAACCGGATCCCAAACCAAATCATGGTGCACATGGGCTCCAGTATCCTGCGGGAACAAATGGCGTATGAACCAATCGTTGGTCACCGGCTACCATGGGACTGCATCTCCTTACGATGCTCCACTGCCTTGTGGGTTAGACCTTTAGGTCAAAGGCTCGGGGTGTGGCCCCCTAAGATAACCACCTGCTTCGGTTTGGGCACCCGGGCAGTATCACAGCCCACACACAAATGATGAACTCTCTATATCTATGGAAACTACTCTTCTCGCTTCGAAAAACAACCAAATGATTCAAATTATTATCACTATTATTATTGTCATTATTACTACTATTATAATTATTATTATCATTATTATTATTATTATTTCCACATTATTCACCCTCTTTTATACTTATACAGCGGCTCGTCTTTGGTGGAAATCCGACTGTATCTAAACGTTCTCGAGTCACTGTCCGGTTGAAAATTGTATGTTACCACCGAATACGAGGACTGAAGCAGTTTTTCTGAAACCACGTGCACCATTCAAACTGGCTGCCTTCAACGTTCGCACATTTATGCAGGTCGGACAACAGATAGGGCTGGCTATGTCTTTGGAAAGTCTTAATATTGATGTTTGTTGTCTATCCGAGACCCGTATTCAAGACTCTGGCGAAGTACTACAAATTCGATCTCCATCTGTCGCTTCGAAAAGCTTGTTTTACGTGCGCTTATCCGGGGACCCTGTGGCATCTTCGTCTGGTCTTGCTGGCGTTGGTGTCGCACTAAGCGCTAGAGCTGAGGCAGCACTAGTCGATTGGATCCCCATTAACAGTCGGTTATGTGCTGTTAGATTAGAAAGTTCCATCAAAGTGAGAAGAAATCGGCGTGAGAAACGATGTCTTTTCGTCATCTCCGCCTATGCCCCGACAGATTGCAGCCCGGATGCAATCAAGGATGAGTTTTACCACCAGTTATCTGTTCTTCTCCAGAAAGTGCGTTCGACAGATATTGTAGTACTAGCCGGAGACTTGAATGCTCAGGTCGGGCGTCTAGGCACAGAAGAGAGTCGTTTAGGTGGCCGATGGGGACTCGTTGGTCGCAGGTCAGATAACGGGGACCGTCTACTGCAACTTTGCACAGACCACAACCTGTTTCTGGCTAGCACTAACTTTCGGCACAGTCATCGCCGATGTGCCACCTGGCGTCCTCCCTCTGCATCTCAAGCCTGGACTCAGATTGATCACATCGCGATCAGCTACCGCTGGCGTGGTTGTGTAAAAGACTGCCGCTCCTTTTGGAGTACCTATCTGGACTCTGACCATGCCTTGGTCTGCGCCAATCTTGCCTTACTTTTCAGTGGACAACGAAGTGACCGCCATCAACGGATTGATGTTAGCAAGCTGGTTGCAACTTCTGTTGCAAGTAAGTATCGAACCGAGCTAGCCTCTAGGCTAGCTACCACTCCACCGAAAAGTATAGATGAGCATTGGTTGCAATTGCATGACGCCATGAAAATGGCGGGAACAGTCAGTTGTGGGTTTGCGAAACGTCCCGCTTTTAAGCACTGGGTTTCTTCTGGTTCCTTACAACTCATTGAAGCCCGTCGGTCTACTCCGGGTGACCGTGAGTTTGACCATAAACGAAGGATGTTACGTAAGGAAATTGGGCAAAGCTTGCGTAAGGACCGAGAAGCCTGGTGGTCGATGCGTGCTAATGAGCTGGAAGCAGCAGCTGCATCTGGTAACTACCGGAAGCTCTTCCAGCTCATCCGAGCCACTGGCAGCAAGAAGTCTGGTGTGAGTGAAACAATCTGCGAGGATGATGGGATGCCAATCACTAACATCCATCGACGTCTTGGACGATGGGCAGAATTTTTCGAAGGGCAGTTCAACTGGCCTGCTGCTCCGGCAACATCGGTCAGACTGTCCTGCCCTCCATGGCCGGTGACGACTGATCCACCAAATGAGGAGGAAGTCCGCAAGGAACTCCAACTCTTGAAGCGTTACAAATCACCTGGCCCAGATGACTTACCTCCGGCTCTTTTTAAAGATGGTGGTGACTTTTTGACTAAGGAATTGACGACGTTGTTTACAAAGGTTTGGGAACTAGAGAGTGTACCAACGTCATGGAATGAGTCGATAGTTGTCCCTATCTTTAAAAAGGGTTCACGTCGTTCCTGTAACAACTATCGGGGGATAAGTCTACTTCCGATTGCGTCCAAGCTATTGGCTTCCGTCATACTTCGTAGGTTGTTCAAAACCCGAGAAAGATTGACTCGCGAGGAGCAGGCTGGGTTTCGTTCTGGTCGAGGATGTATTGATCATATCTTCACCCTCCGCCAAATGTTAGAACACCGCCATACTTATCAAAGGCCAACAATCGTAGTGTTTCTTGACATCAGGGCTGCCTTCGATTCGTTGGACAGGACTGTTCTCTGGGATTGTCTATTGAAGAAGGGTGTGCCTGAGAAGTTTATTAACATCCTAAAAGCCCTATATAAAACACCTCAGGCAGAGTGAGGGCATACAACCACCTCTCTCCATTGTTCCATTCGAGCAGTGGGGTTAGGCAGGGTTGCCCAATCTCACCATTCCTCTTCAACTTTGCCATCGATGACATTCTGGAAACAGCTCTGATGAATGTAAGTAATGGTGGTGTGGATCTGTTGCCTGGAGAAAGACTTCTCGACCTTGAGTATGCGGACGATATTGTCTTACTGTGCGATAATGCCCAAGGCATGCAATCCGCACTTAATCAGTTGGCAATCAGTGTCCGTAGGTATGGTATGTGCTTTGCACCTTCGAAGTGCAAAGTACTTCTACAAGACTGGCAGGATTCTAATCCTGTACTCACCCTGGATGGTGAGCAGATAGACGTAGTCGAGAAGTTCGTGTATCTGGGTAGCTGCATAAGTGCTGGTGGGGGTGTGAGTGATGAGATCAATGCACGAATAGTGAAAGCCAGAGCGGCTTATGCCAATCTGGGCCACCTTTGGCGCCTTCGTGATGTTAGTCTGGCTGTAAAAGGTCGGATCTACAACGCGTCGGTGAGAGCAGTTTTGCTCTATGCTTGTGAAACCTGGCCTCTCCGAGTTGAGGACGTTAGACGACTCTCTGTGTTCGATCATCGCTGTCTCCGAAGGATTGCTGACATTCAGTGGCAACACCATGTCAGTAATGCAGAGGTTCGGCATCGTGTGTTCGGGCACAGAGATGATAATGCAATTGGTGTCACCATCTTGAAACACCGACTTCGGTGGCTTGGACATGTTCTCCGAATGTCGTCCCAGAGAATTCCACGTCGTGCATTATTTGCCGACTCTGGGACTGGTTGGAAAAAGCGGAGAGGTGGTCAGTGCATGACATGGTGTCGTGGCATGAAAGAAAGCTGCAAAGGACTGGCTTGTGTTGGTCCTTCACGACTCCCTGGTTGGGGTCCGAGAGATGGTGCTACACAGTGGCTAGAGACGTTATCAGATATGGCTCAGAATAGAAGCCAGTGGCGATCCTGCTGTAACCTTCTTTTACTTTCTTCATAAAAAGTGGTTGTGTCTCCCTTACCTGAAAGATTTCTTCTGATTGTACCTTTCCGTACCCTCGTTACTACCACACTACCTTACACCAATCTCTTCGTAATTGTTCTCTTTTTTTAGCTCCTTACCTGTTTTTTTCTTTTGTCTCTCCGAATTCTCATTGTTTTGTGTGGCGCATATATATTGGCGCTCTCTTGTACCAATATTTATGTGTTCAAATAAATAAATAAATAAATAAATAGTCATTCTATATTCATCCAAAATGCAAAAAACCGTGACACCGTAATTTAAGGGCGACTTTTAAACAGCGCTAAATTAGCCTTCTGACGACTCACCTATTTATCAAGGTCAAAAGAGGGTTGTAATCTAATATGAGGACTTGATGTCGAGTTAAGATTTATGGTTAAGAATCAAAAGTTTTCATCACGAACTGACAGCTATATTGTAGTAGTTAGAGTCCGGCCAAGTATTCTGCGTACTAAGGGAGCATTATGAGTGCGTAAAGGCTAGAGAAAAGAAAGCAAAAGGTTAGTCGACGAGACAGGAAGAGCACAAAATGCACTTAAACTTAATAACGAAACCAATCAACAGCAATCAGAAATAATAGTCCTTAAGCTAAAACAGTCTTGTAATCGAAACTAGAAGCAGATGGTTCAACCCACCATATGTATCAATGGATTTCGCGTTAAAATCCGATTTACCATCCTTAGTCTCACTGGTTTGTCTATATAAATCATAGCCTTGCCAAAAAAGTAGATCGAGAAAGGCACTTTGCAACGAAGTAGTTAGCTGACTAACCGAAAACTTAGTAGAAGCATTCCATTGCCCATCTAATACTATCCCACCCATTACTATATTTGAGACATTGTTGCTTATGTGAAGATGCAGATCTACTTTGCAAAGCAAATATTGTGATAATCACGCGACTAACTGCCAGTATTTTCAGACACATTTTGTCAGGATTTTACACAATCTTGCGGCAAACAAGAAGTGGTTTACATGAAAGAAATAAATATGTATTACGTCAACGACTGGAGAAACTCGATCAGTTGTCTGTAATTTCCAATGGAGTAAACACTCCAATGAGATATGTATAGATTACCAACGTAATAAGCTTCCAACTAGCTGTCAATGACTGAATAAATGTGTTGATCAAACCAATCAGTCAATAATTTCGAATCAAAGGCCTGCATTCCTTACCGTGTTGCTGACTTGGCTCAAACCTCCCTCTTCCTCTTCAACAACCTTGAATAGCTGAATCCACGGCCGACAATCCAGAAATCACAAGATAGTAATGGACGATTACCTACTGTATTTATGTATTCGAAGATAACAAGTTTCGTCACTTGTGTTTTCATCAGCACGTCTTTCTAGTGTTCTCATACGAATGCAATAAACTGGCGTCTGAAAGTCTCAGAACTCCTTGAAAAATGCAATATTTCAAAACACCTACAATGTCTAATTCTTCTGTAACAGGATCACATAAACGGATTACTACCATTCTTTCACTTCATGCTGTTTCAGGATGATTGGAGGTCAGTGATAATCTCAAATAGGCGACAATTTGTCAACCCGACCGTGCTGACTCTACTCAGTTTAGCAGTTATATGTGGATTGGTATATTTTCTAATCTCAGTGAATATGTCCTTATGAGGGCTTTATGATTTCCGAAACAAGTACCTATTACAGAAACGGATAATAGGTTTGTTGGTTGTTCCCCAATATGTAAGATAATTAAAATAATATTGGTCTGCTAAAAGAGGATGATTGTTACAATAACTGAGAAAGAAAATAATATAGACATGTCAAATAGACGTGATTGTATACGCATCCTGGAATATAGTACTTGACTGACCATATAACTCTCAAGCGCATCAATTCAGTTCTCTCGGTCTAAATGTACTCAAATGTGTGGTCAATTCAAATGCCTTGTGTGTGAATCTCCCAGAAACTCCTTTGTCTGGTTCCCCGTCCACCTATCTGTTTGCAAGTCGGGTTCAACTACTATATTGATCTATAAACATTAAGAGCACTCTGGTTAGCCAATATTCAGGACAGTTTGTGTTTATGTCAATCAAAACAATGTAGATTAGGCCATTCATGCGAAATCCTTGATTTATCTCATTACTATGCAGCTGCTGATTATTTTACTGCAAGTGTTATTTTAATTTAAGTGCACGCGCCTCTGTGTTAGTATCAATCTTAATACAATCCAATCACAAGAATGCCCGATTCTTGTGTAAATCCAGTAAAACAACTATTCCAGTCTACGTGTTTCAATTCAAAAAACTTGCACTTTAAATGTTTGTTACTGGTGAAATAAATTACTGAAACACATATCCGAAGATATCGGTATTTTAACTATCACTAAATCCACTTGTTCTCAGTAATCGAATATACGGATGGCGAACATAATAATGCAGGCAGTATGAGAAGATCGAAGTGTAAGACTGAGAAGGGAAACGGGAATAATGATAGGCGAGATAAGAACAAGTTAATGATATGCCGTAATGATAATAGTAGGTAAGTTACGTAATATGCGTCAGGTACAGCTAGTCCAAAGTATGAAATATTGAGAGGGCTTACGGGCTTACATCTTTTGACGTGGAGGTTTCCAAGAGTTTTCTCATTGTGAATGAAGACGATGTCCCTGTGGGATGCACGTGTTGAGGTGACTCAGAGTACTGAGTATGTTGTGTTCCATTTTCAGGAAGAAATAGTCATCAGTGTCGGAGTCTATCTTCATAAAACTTGTTTCACAGCTTCATCGTCCATTTAGCCTCTTGTCTTTGAACTTGGTCAAACGGGATTCTATTTCCTTAAAATGGATGAGACCCAACAACATTGTAGACTTCGAGATGCATCTACGGTAACGTTATGAACAATGTTATAAGCAAAACTGATTTGAATTCAACGATTTGTTCTGGATGAAGTGATGATTTGCAGTTGCCTTGATTGCATCTTCAATGTTGTTTCAGCTGGAATCTGCGTTCTCTAGGATTAATTGTCCTATATCTCAGTTTGCGGGGAAGTGAATTATCATGGAGTTGTTCATTAGCCGTGGCTCCAAATCTTCATAGCATGATGTTTCGACTAATTAAATTGTCCGCTACCCACATATTTAGTGCCGTGCTAGAATTTCGAAGCTTCAGTGAACTCGTTTCACTTCATACGGACTTCCAGATTATCGCGTTGTCCCAATATATCAGTGCAACTAGCCTATGAATTACGGGAATACTAAGTGCAACAGCATCCTTTGTCCTCAGAAGCTTTTCCAGCCGCCTCATCATATGGGAAGATGGAACTTAAATGACTCCATTCTAAACCTGTTATGGCCTTCATGAAGAGGGTTGGTTTCGTCAATGTTTTCTCTCGTTTGACGATTTTCCTCTCATTCCACTAACCTTGAAAGTGTTGCGAGTGATGTGACAGTTCTGTAGCAGACTGGGTCCACCATCTCTCCTACTTTGAAAACTGAAGAGAAATTCTCACTTCAACTGTATCAAAATGTGTTGCGACTATAGTGCCAACCTGAACAGGACATATACATGTGTATAGATGTCTTCCACTCACAGTTTCGTGACCACAGTTAAGATACTGATATATCGCAGAGACTTTTGTGGAGCCAAGCACCTCGACATTTTTATACCGGTTCTGAGAACTAGATGTACATTTCCCAGGTCACCAACAGGCACTATGTTGGCGAGACAGAGAGTATTCCTCGAAAAAAGCCCAGAGAGGCCCCAAAAACTTTGGGAAACACTTTATCTAATCAGCGTTGTGTGGAGGTTAATCAGAAACATTTAGAAAGTGAAGACTGACGTCATGTTTCCGACTGGATGATAGCCCATCGTGCTACTATGTTTGGTAGGGTTCCAGAAGACTCCAGAGCCCTAGCGCCATCTGAAATGCTATAAATACCATCGATTTTCTGTACATGAACTAATCTAGGAGTAAGACGTTCTTTCCCTATTATACGCCTTTTCTTTCGCGTTTAAGTTGTCGTGTAGTCTTGGGTTATTAGAAGAACATGGGAGACCAATTTAATCATCCAGTAAAAAAATCTTACCATACTAGATTGATAGTGTTGGACGCTTGTAGATTGGTGGTTTGATCGACCAGCGAAGTTGACATTTAGATTCTGTGACATTTCTATTATGATCAAATCCTGGATGTTGCTCAGATCGAAAGAGCATGAGTCCCACAATTTTTCAGTTACCTGTTTAGCGAAGAAGCTATGGGTGCTCATGGACCCAAGTTCTTAGATTGTTCTGGAAATATCTATCGCTTGCACTTTGATGTGACATCTATTTCTCACTTCCAGGTAGTGGTTGCTGTTAGGATCTCCTGATGTGAATTCTCATTATTATTTTTATACACAAACATCTTATGAGTACATAAGTGTTGTGAAGAAACCATTTCGGGTTTCTTCAAAAATGCAATAACACACAAGTATCAATAATGTTAGCATTATATCTGCCATATTTGAAAAGGCGAATAATAATAATAAATCAGGTTCTGTGTAATTGAGAAGAATAGTGAATTGAGTTTAAAGAAGGAAAGGAAGAAAATTAAGGGATAGAAATAAAGGAGACGTGAAATACGCAAATAGTTTAATAGGCGTGTTTATGAACACAGAACAGGAATGGACGACCATGTACGTATTGTCAAATTAATGACAAACTAAAATAGAAAATAATCAAGAAAAAATAACTTATTATTGCAGTAAGATATGACGCTAGAATAAATGTTTGTGCAGTCATAGTTTGGAGTGATGCTATGAAAGTCTCAATTAAGTGAAAAGGATAACCAAATATCAATTAGCATGAGTCATATATGTGTAGTGAAAATAAAACGGGTCTGAGAAGTTAATTTAAATTTAACACAAGTTATTGTCTTAATTACAAACTTCGTAATCTTAAGAATAATATTTATTTAGAAAGGAAAAAGAAAGAAAAGAAGTGGACACCTGGTGAAAAGGTTCAACCATGATAATAATTGACTACCTAGTTTATTAGATCTTACGTGGAAGTCACATCATAGCCTACACTGACTCGTCCTATCATGACAGTCAGCAGTGTGAACACATATGGGCTAGGAAGAAAGTGAAATGTTCAGTGCGAAAAGCAAGAGCTTACGTAGAATAGCAGGGAGATGATTCAGGGATATGATCAGTTTTATGATACTCTGTAGAAATTTAAAGGTACTAAATGTATAAATTTTTGATGAGATACTGTTCGAAACGTTGTAGGAAGCGATTTCCTACAAGTGTAACCCTAAGCTATTCTCCAGACCGTCGAACACAAAGTCGTGGTTTAGCCAAAGTCAGAACAAGTAAGCTATTTGGTTTGATAAATTTTATCCGTTGCGAACAGCAGCTAGAGTATAGGGAAAATAAGTCAACAAGGCAAACATTGTTTTATAATCAACATAAAATTGTGATTGGTGAATAAACAAGACATAGTCACACAAGGCCAAAAAAAATTAATGTGGTGGTGAGCGTTTCACTTTATCATTGGTGAGTTCGCTTATCGATCACACCTTACACGCAATGTTGTATATCACTTCACGACTACAGTGTGTAGATAGTTAAAATAGACTTATTTCGCTATCAGTTTTACCAATAACCACATTTTTATATTTTCGTCCACTAGAACAGGACCACATTCATTTCTGAAGGCGGTGACTAAATACCAAAATTACTCCCGATCGTTAACCGTTGCCTCACATTCACAACTTAACAGCTACGTTGAAAGCTACAACTGTTTGATCCGAAAATCGACGTGGTTAAAGCGTACGGACAAATTCCCATAGGTGATGACGAAATTCCTAAAACCGCTATCGTCACTCCTTCCGGTTTCTACGAATTTTTGCACATATCTTTTGGCTTTAGAAATGCCACACAAGCGTTCCACAGATTCATCAAAGACGTCTTCCGAGGTCTCAATTCCTTGTACGGGCTGATTACAGGTCTGAGCAAAGACACCAATGTCCAATATCTGGACCTTGTTTTTGAACGACTGCAGGAACACAGTGAAACTTCGAGCATTCAGCAATGTCAAATCGGAACCGACTCCCTTAATATTTCGTCTACAATATTGATGCTCAAGGCATCCGCCCTCTCCAAAGCAAATTGGCAGGCATTCTGCTGGCGCACCAGGACATCAAAGCACCTATTAGTATCGCGTTAGACACATTCG